TAAAAAAAAAAAAAAAAAAAAAAAAAAAAAATGATAATAATAAGGGCTGGGGATGTAGTTTAGATGAAGGCACTGGGTTCAGTCCCCAGGACACAAAAAACAAATTACAAATAAAGCGAAAACCCTCCTCACAGCGGACTCTTCTCTTTAAGATGGTCTGGCTGTGTATTGAATTCTTCTCTTTCCCACCCCTGCCTGCCCACCAACTCGTTATTCATTCTGTCTGTAGCTTCATGAGGAAGAGATTGCTAATATGATAGAGGTTAGGTTAGACAGCCTTAGGATGTTGAGTTAATTTGTTGTAAATACCATGTTCCACCAACATATAAGGGCAGAAATAATGGGGAACAATGCAGAGCAGAATTACCTGTAGGGCCGATGAAGGAGGGGCCTGAGCCTGTGATCCTGCTCTCAGAACCTGGCTCTGGAGGACAGTGGACTCCAAAGTTCTGCAAGCAGTAGGTGTCTCACAGCAGGCACCTGTGTAGATACTCACCTTCTTTGGCTGGAAACATCACTCATGAAGCAGAATGAGGCACTGTGATCAGCTAGTCAAATGGGGGGTATTTGTGTTCTGTTGTCCTTAGGGAAACACCTCATTCCTTGGCTCTTGGTTAGCTCCATTAAAAGACCGTCTGGATGGATCTTTTTACTGGTTTGCGTTGGCACTTTTCCCCGTGTGAGTCTCTGAGGTGTGGAGTGGAGGAGGGGAGAATGTGACCACTGCTCTGTGCTCCCGTAGGAACTGGCTCTCTGCTGACACAAAGGAGGAGCGAGACCTCTGGATGCAGAAACTCAACCAAGTTCTTGTGGATATTCGCCTCTGGCAGCCCGATGCTTGCTACCAGCCTATTGGGAAGCCGTAAACTGCAGGAATTTCCTTATCACGTGGAGACTTTTTTGTGCTATGTCATAAATTTATCTTAAGAAAACAGACTTTAGAGCATCAGATTTACTGATTGCATATTGTGCTTTAAATAGGAAAGGGTTTGTGCAAATATTCACTACATATTATGCAGCATTTATGTCTTTTTGTATGTAAAACTTCAACCACTTCCTGTCACTCATAAATGATTGGAAGTCAGTTCATTATAGTTGTTGCTAAGTCTAAAGTTAAAAGTCTCATTTTCCTAGGAATATAATTAATTGTTCAGTTCATGACAAAATATTTTTGTAGAAGTATGAAACTCTGAGTTATTTTCTTGGAGCTGTATTCTTGAAGCAGCGAGGTCTTCCAGGGTTGGAGATAGATGCCTTCAATTTGCGATCCCTTCTCAGCCTCAATAGGTTTTTCAAAAGTTTATAGTCATCTCTTGATCAGTGATTTGTTAATACAGTACTGAAAAAAATTCCGAAGGGACTCTAAGAAATATTTTTAGTAATGGAGATGAGCACTTTTAAAAGTAGCAAATGTCCTACCTTAGAGCTTGAAGCCACCTTTTAAGAAAAGATGTAGACAGGCGACATTGTGTGAGATTTGGGGTCAGATATCTTATATGGGACACTTAATCATGTGGTTTACATGTACTCAGTTACATATGCTGTGTGGTACACATTTTCATAGAATTCATGCTTTATTGAAATAATTATTTTGCCATGTAGCTTACAGACTCCCAGACTTTAGCATATTAATTTTTTCTGTCCCTGTAACAAGAACAAATGTAAATTGAAGAACCTTTATATTACAAGAACTAAACTTTTTCTAAGCTGCTACAGAATAATACTTTGCTTGCCAAAGTTCTTGTCTTTTCTTTTATGTTTGTGTATGACAGTGTCTTGCAACCTGTTTGAAATTATTCTGAAAATGCTGTCATGTATTACCTTTAAAAACCTAATACCTTTGTTATTATAAAATATTTGTAAAGCATCATTTTAACTTCTAAGTACCCTCAGAATTTCTTTTCTGAATTGTTAGTTATTGATAATTTCATGTAAAACACTAAATTCTGTCACCTTCTGTTTTTTTGCATTCAAATGTTTATCTTATATATAAAACTATATTTTATGTCATCTTACTGAAATAAACGCTTGTACACAGCTTATGGTGTCAGTTATGTAAGAGAAGCTGTGTGTGGCATGGCTGCTGTACCTCCGCAGTTCTAGACTCCAGAGGCTACCATCCTGACAGGATCTTGAGTGTCTATTCTCCTACCTCCAGTGCTTGCTGTCTGTGGGTTCTCAGTGTGACCGTGAAGTGCATGTGTAACAAATGGTCCACTTCTGAGGCATGTCAGCACGGTGTGGTAGTTGGATGTGTACTTGAAGATACAGCATGTGATTCCCAGGTGCTTAGCCGAGGTGACTGTGTGGAACGTCACCAGCCCGGACAGGGACAGGACGTAAGGTCCTGAGAAGGTCCCTGGCATCCATGCATTTATTTTTTAACCCCCTCCCCCCTTACTGGGGATCGAACCCAGGACCTTGCACTTGCAAGGAGGGCCCTGTGCCATTGAGCTAAATCCCCAGCCCCTTCCCTAGTATTTATTGATAGGCTTGTGTTTTGTTGGAATTGGCATAATATATCAGGGTACAAAATTCAAAAGGCACACAGAAGGTGAAAGGTCTATCTCTGTCATAAGAACTTTTAGCAGTTTTTGTGCTTCTTCCCAGAAGACTATACATATTACTTAAAAATACTCTTTTGTTCATTAGTTCCATACATACTATTTCCTGTAATGTAAAGGAAAAAAAAGTAAGAGTATCCCTTAGAGATCATTCTGGTTTAGTATGTTAGAGTGTATATAAAGCTCAATCTTAGGAGAAATTTTGGTTAAGGTGATTGTGATACATCAAATTAAGAGATACCCCATCAAACTGGAAAATATTGTTCTGGTGATTTCACTCACAGCTGCCTCAAGGGCCTTTGCTGGAATCATGAGAGTGGATAAATCACCTGGACATTAAAATGTGGAGAGAGAAGTAATAATAAAAGAAACACTGTTATTTAGAGGTAAAGTGAAAAAATGTGGCTAACAGGTATTTTGTATGCAAGAACAGCAGTGGGGTCTGCTCCAGAGATTAAGAAGAGCCTTAGATCTGGCTTTGGAATCATAAGGCGGACAAATGAAAGCACAAATTCACATGTGCAGCAGGCAGTTGAGTACAAGAGTTCAAATAAAAGTCAGGTCACACTAAAACCCATGGAGGAAAATGACAGATTTGAGTACATGAAAAATCCTTACAGGTGTGTGTAAACAAAGGCAAAACAAGCAATAGGTGAACTTGTGTAAAGCATGAAAGAGCTCCTGTGAGAGTGGCTGTCGTGTTTCAGCGTCTGCTATGTGCCAAATGTTGTCTTTGGTGTGTGCATTCTATCATATGATCTTCACATGACCTTGTGAAGTCAGCATCGAACCAAAAACTTGGGTAACTTTCTTGGGGCCACACTTACCGAGTAACAGACCAGGACATAAACGCAACACTATTCCAGAAACCACATATTTCACTGTTACACTGTGGTATCTTGTCAAATTAAAAAAAAATTAATGGGTAAATAATAATAGGAATTGTGCACACACATGTCGATCTAAGAAACTTAAAAATAATACTCATAAACAGAAAAATACATATTTAAGTGGCTGTGGGTTTTGTCCCACAGGCTGATGAAACTAGCCAGGGTTGATTAGAAACAAACACCACACTCTTGGTGAGACTAGGAACCAATTCAGCCTTTTTGTATGCAAATCTTTTAACTTCCAGGAATCCGCTAAAACTCAAGATCATATTGTCTAATCTGATTTTTTTTTTTTTTTGTACCAGGGATCAAATGGGTCCTTGTGCTTGTGAAGCAGGTGCTAGAACCATTGAGCTAAATCCCTGGCCCCATATTGTCTAATCTGACTTGGAGGTATCGGAGATTTTACAGTAAGCTTTACTCAGAGATTCAAGGGCATCAAGGAGCACTGGCAAATTGGAGAGGTCCCTAACCTCCTGCAGCCGCCCAGGTCTTGGTTTTTGTGTGACACACACCTTCTCTTCTGCCTCAGAATAAAGGCTCTCAAGGGAGGCATCACGTTATCTCAGGCAGCAGACAACCTCTAGGTGAGGGATAATCTCCCTCCATAGTTGTAGAGCTTTTATAACACGTAGGAATCCTGCCAAACAAATCCACAAATTCTGTATATTTACTGCAAGCAGTCCTTAACCAGCCACTTCCCACTAAGAGCATTCCACCGTATAAGTCCTCTTGACAAATATCAGTCATCTGTTTACCTGGAGGTCCAGTTTTCAGCAGGTTTGCAAGGAATTTAGGTCTGTTCATCTTCTTTCTCTAGAAGCAAAGTTTAGCTGTTTTAACTCCTCCCCAACTGTCCTTACACAAACTTGCATGTGAGCAGATAGTTTCTAAACAGGAAAAGTAGAAATAATCTACGAATTCATCTACAGGGAGGAAAATTTAAAATGACCAAGCACACTTAATTGGAAATCATGGTACAAAATCCCAGGTAGGGGCCAAAAAGAATGAAGTGAGCAAGGGTATTTCTGGATGAAGAAATGAGTGTATGTTACTACGGTGACATGGAAGAGGTGAAGATAGAGAAACAGAACACAGTGGAAAAAACAAAATGCAAAACGGAAGGAAGGATGAATGGAAGGAGCAAGATGATGGGTCATGGTACCTAGAAGAGATGTGGAATCCTGGACTCCATGCCAACATTCAGCACTTGTTAACGGCTTAAATCTAGACTTTCCCCCAAAAGTCTCAGGTGTTCAGAGGTGGGCTTTGGGAAAGTGATGGGTTCGTGGGGCCCTGTACTTAGGAGTGGATTCATCCACTGATGAGTTCATGGCTGAATGCTATTAGGAGGCTAGCCTGGTTAGGAGTGTGGTTCCCTGGGGACTGACCTGAAAAGGAGTATTTTCCTCTCTTGGTGGAATGACCCGGAAGTGTACATTCTCATCCCTGGCTCCTCCCTTCTCTGCTTCCTGGCTGCATTGGGGTGAGCAGCTTTCCTTAGCCAGCTCCTCCCGCCATGCTGCTTCTGCCTGGGATCCAGCCACTATGCACTGAATCCTCTGAAAGGTGAGCCCAAACCAACCTTTTCTTCTTTATGTTCTGGGTGTTGTGTGTTTTGTCCAGTGATGGGAAAACCATTAATACGGTAAATTTGTGAGTTCTGAAGAAAGGTACAGGGGCCGCAGTCATGCAGGCAGGCCACTGGGGAATGATGCCTAGGCCTGGTTATCCTTTTTCATGAAATGTGCCGGCCATGGGAACCCCACGGAGGCAGGGCAACTTGTGTGGAAGCACTGCACAACTGTTTCAAGATAGGGCTACCGTCAGCCCTCAAGGACACTGCAGTCACGAAGAGCAGAGGTCTCTACTCCCTGTAAGAGTTCATGCTCTAGAAAGTCTGAACCCTAGAGACACACCCAATTCCCATTTTCAAGATGATGTCCACATTTTTCAGCAGAAGTTTAAAAAACTGCAAAGCATTTTTAATTTTCCTCATATTGGGAATATTATTAACATTTCAAATTAAAATCTTTACAGTCTTTTAGTCAAATCCAACAGAATCTATGCAAGTGCAATTTTATCCTCCATGAACTATTTAAAAGTACAAATTCATTTTAGAAACTTTAGGGACTTTCATATCAGTGCTCGCATCATTTTATATTAACGTAATTTATATTTTGATGTTTCAGCAAAATATGTGTACAAATGAAACCATTTTTAACCATAAAAATTTAAATGTTAAAACAATTCCAGACTGAATTATTATGTTTATTTTTAGTTCACAATCAAGATAAAATGTTGCACATCTGCCAGGTGTGGTGGCTCACACCTGTAATCCCAGCACTTGGGAGGCTGAGGCAGGAGGATTGCTGTGAGTTCAAGGCCAACACGGGCTACATCATGAGTTCAAGTCTAGCTTGAACTACATAGTGAGACCCTGTCTCAAAAAAAAGTTACACACCTGAAAAAATTTAAACAGTAAAACAATATAGGAAATAGATTTTTAATGAGATAGATGGGTTTTTTATTGCTTAATTTGTATATTTTGGGTAAATATATTTGTCAAGAATGAGATGTGCTTCAACATCAACTCTTTCATTTTTATAGATCACTTTAGTAGATCAAAATGGGCATAGCTTTGATATAGCCATCACACAAAACACTGAAGTTTCAAATGATCTATTGGAAATTATTCTTAGGTAGAAGGGTAGGTAGACATGACCAATATATGGTAAATGCATGTATGGAAGTATTGCAGTGGATCCTATTAATTTTCATAATTGATTCCTTAATTACAATTACTAATTATTTTAATAAGTTCAATTAGTTTTACCTAACATAGCAAGGAAAATACAGGTTGTGCTAACATACAAATGAACAATAACAAGAAAAAATAGCAGCGTGTCAAATGAGATGGGCATTTCTCATCTGACAGTGTAAAGATGGGACCAGCACTGGGCAAAAAGTTGTCTGTGAACCATGAGGATCTCCAGGGACCAAGGTTTTGATCCCTCATATCACCCGCAGTGTGGCTTTGTCCTTGTGGCCTCTCCAGCTCAGCTGCAGCATATCCATGGTTCATCTTTCAGGAAGTGTGAAAGACAGAGGCTCATTCCCATGACTATTAAAATTTCTAAAGCCAAGAGTGGTGGCACATAACTGGTATTCCGAGCACTGTGGGAGGCTGAGGCAGGAGGATCTCAAGTTCAAGCCCAATCTGGACAACTTAGCAAGACTCTGTCTCAAAATAAAAATTAAAAAGGGCTGGGGATGTAGTTCACTGGGAAGGCCTTTGTGTTCTATCCTCAGTATTGTACCACAAAAAATACATACATACATACATACATACATACAAACAACCCACAGGCCAGAATTTTCACAGCATTCTTCTCATACCCATGGGCAAACAATCACATAGTCACACTGTAGGTAGAAAATGTAGTCTTTAGTTGCGTGACCTGCTGAAATTCATTAGATTTCTACTACTGAAAAACAAAAAAGGGATAGCCAGGAGTCTC